AGCAGCTTAAAAATACTTGCTATGTCTATGTCAATGTAAGTTTTATTTTTTCTTTTTTGACTCATGAGCTTTTGGAAGTAAATTTCTATTTCTTAAAATAATTTTTAAAAGTTGAGTGCTACTTCACATTCCTTCAGTGAAACGCATAGATTATGTGCATAGTTCGATGCGTTTCCCTAAATGCATACATCTGGAGAAGTCACACAGCTGTCAGGACACAGACCATTTCCATGAGAGCAGAAACTTGTCTTATGGTCTCTCCATCGATTCCTGCGTTTCTCCTGCACACCCTGAGGCAGCAACCACTCTGTTCTCTAGCGTCATAGGATGGCTTTGCCTCCCCCTAATTTAACAGAAATGGAATCATACTGTATATGCTCTTTTGTGTGTTACTTTTCTTCAGTATAGTATTTTTGACTGTTTTTTTTTTTTTAATGTATTGCTTATACATTTTGGTTGTTGCTTTTTTTCTTCCTCTTCAACCTCTCCCCCCTCCCCTTCTTCCCCATCTTCTTTGGAGTAGTTCATATTCCATTGCACAAAAGTGTAACAATTTATCCATTCCTCTGTTGGTGGATATTTGGCCTATTTCCAGTTTGGGGCAATTATGATGAAAGCTGCTGTGAATGTTTTTGTACAAGTCTTTCTGTGGAATATGTTTTTGTTTCTCTTGGGTAAATACTTAGGAATGGAAGTGAAGTGTTGAGTCATAGGGTGAGTGCATATTTACCTTTATAAGAAATTGCCAAACTGGTTTTCCAAAGAGGTTCTACCATACAGTCCCAACAGGAACATTCTCACTATAGCTGGATATTTAAGTCTTTTCCATTTTAATTCTTCTAGTGAGTAAAATATGGTATCCTAGTTGTTTTTTAAAATCAATTTTGGGGCACCTGGGTGGCTCAGTCAGTTAAGCGGCTGACTCTTGATTTCAGCTCAGGTCATGATCTCACGGTTGTGGGTTCCAGCCCCACACAGCACAGACCTTGCTTTGGATCCTCTGTCTCCCTCTTTTCTGCCCCTCTTTCCCTCCCCCCACTCTCTCAAAAAAAAAATAAATGTTTAAAAAATTAAAATCAATTTTATTGATGTATACTTTACATGCACACATTTTAAGTGTATAATTTCTTGAGTTTTAACAAATGTACACACCTGTGTAATCACCATCCCTAATCAAGATAGGGACAATTCTGTCACCTAAGAAAACTCTCATGCCCCTTTCTGGTTGATTACTCTCCACTTCGGCCCCAGTAACCACGAATCTTACATCTATCATTTTTTTTATTTGTTTTGCCCGTTCTAGAATTTCATATAAATAGAATCATCACTGTGTACTCTTTTTTATGGGTGGCTTCTTTCAGTCAGCATAATTTTTTTTATTAAAAAAAAAATTTTTACACTTTTTTCATTTTTGAGAGACAGAGACAAAGCATGAGAAGGGGAGAGGCAGAGAGAGAGGGAGATGCAGAATCTGAAGCAGGCTCCGGGCTCTGAGCTGTCAGCACAGAACCCAACGCGGGGCTTGAACTCACCAACCATGAGATCAGGACCTGAAGCCGAAGTCAGATGCTTAACCAACTGAACCACCCAGGTGCTTCTCAGCATAATTATTTTAAGATTCACTCATATTTTTGTGTCCAATGTAACATTTCCCTTTTCATTGCTGAGGGGGCATTCCATTGTATGGATTTTATACATTCTCCTGATGGTGGACATTGGGTTGTTTTTACTTTTTGGCTATTATGAATAAATGTATTTTTTGATATATGTTTTTATTTCTTTGGGATAAATTCCTAGGAGTGGAATGACTGAACCATATGATAAATGTATGTCTAACTTAAAAAAAAAATTTTTTTTAACGTTTATTTATTTTTGAGACAGAGAGAGACAGAGCATGAACGGGGGAGGGTCAGAGAGAGGGAGACACAGAATCTGAAACAGGCTCCAGGCTCTGAGCTGTCAGCACAGAGTCCGACGCGGGGCTCGAACTCACAGACCGTGAAATCATGACCTGAGCCGAAGTCGGTCGCTTAACCGACTGAGCACCCAGGCGCCCCTATGTCTAACTTTTTAAGAAACTACCAAACTGTTTTCCAAAGTGGTTGTATTATTTTACATTCCTGCCAGTGGTATATGAGCGTTTCATCCTCACCGCATCCTCACCAGCACTTGGTCAGTCTTTTTAATTTTAGCTATTCTAATAGGTTTGTGGTGGTATCTCATTGTGGTTTTGATTTATATTTCCCTGATCACTAATGATGTTGACCATCTTCTTGTGCACTAATAAATGTCTCTTGTGAAGTCTGTTCAAACATTTCACCCATTTATATGGGTTATTTGTCTTATTACTGAGTTGCAAGAGATATTTATATATTCTATTTATAAATTATTTGTCAAATGTTTTCTCCCAGTGTATAACATATCTGATCATATACTTAACTGGATCTCTTGGTGTGCAGATTTTAATTTTTATGAAATTTATCACATTTTTCTCTTATGGTTAATGCTTTTCTTGTTTTAGCTGAGAAATCTTTGCCACCCAAAGACCATGAAGGCATTTTTCTGCGTTTATTCTAGAAGCGCTATAATTTTTTTTTTTTAAGTAAGTCTTTATGCCCAGTGCAGAGCCCAACACAGAGCTTGAACTCACGACCCTGAGATGAAGACCTGAGCTGAGATTGAGTCAGACACCAAAGTGACTGAGCCTCCCAGGCGATCTTAGAAGTGCTATAATTTTAACATTTGTATTTAGGCCTTCATCTATCTTGAATTAATTTTTATGAGTAATATGAGCTAGGGGTCAAGATACACTTTTTTCCTTATGATTTCCAATTGTCCTAGCACCATTTTTGAAGAATCTTAATTTTTTTCGTTGACTTCTTTTGGTTCCTCTGTAAAACAAAACAAAACAAAACAAAACAAAACAAAACCATCAATGGGCTAATTAATGTTGAGCTAATTTCTGACTCTGTTTCTGTTACATTTGTCTGTTCATCTTTGTGACAGTACCATACTATCTTGAATACTAAATCTTCATAGTCATTACTGAAATCAGGCTATGTAAGTCCTCCAAATTGGTTCTTTTTTTTTCAAGAATTTTTTTCTTTTTTGCTATTCTATGTCATTTATATTGCCATATACATTTTAGTATCCGCCTTTCAATTTCTATAACAAAGACGGGCAGGAACTTTGAGATTGTATTAACTATAGATCAGTTGGGGTGAATGTCCACTATTGTCTTTCAATCTGTGAACGTGTATATCTCTCCATTTATTCTGGTCTTTTAAAATTTCAGCAACATTTTGTCATTTTATACATACAGATTTCATACAAATTTTGTTAAAGTTATTCCCAATTATCTTATGTTCTTTCATGCTATTGTGATATTTTTTTAATTTCCTTTTTCATTTTTTTTTTTGTAGCTAGTATATAGACAAATGATTGATTTTTATGTATTGCTCTTGTATCCTTTGACCTTGATAAGTTGTTTTTTGGTAAAAGTAAGGTTTGCTTTTGAATAGATTCCTTAGGAATTTCTACATGTACCATTATTTTGTTCGTAGATAGAAACAATTTTACTTCTTTCCCTGTCTTTATATTTTCTTTTTTTGCCTTATTTCACTGGCTAAGATCTCCAGTACAATGTTGAATGCAAGTGGTATGTCCATACCTTTGCCTTGTTCTTGATTTTAGAGAGAAAGCATTTGGTATTTAACATTTAAATATGATGTTAATCGAAAGATTTTCATAAGACAACTTTATCAAAGTTTGAAGTTTCCTTTGATTCCTAAGTCTACTGAGACTTTTAATTAGAAAGCATTGAATTGTTACAATTGTTTTGCATCTGTTGAGATGACCAAATGATTTTTCTCCTTTATTCTTCTGTATAAATGATGAACCATATTAATTGATTTTCAAAGTGTTAAACTACCTAGCATTACTGTGACAAAACCTGCTTGGTCATGATGAATTATCTTTTTTATATATGACTAGATTTGATTTGCTAGTACCCTCATTCAATTTGTTAAGAATTTTTGCATTTATATTCATGAAGATCATTGGTCTATGATTTTATCTTCTTGCACTTTACTCATTCCCTCCTTACCTTTTGAAAGAGTTTGTGTAAGATTGCTATTTATTTTGTAAATGTTTAAAATAAATTTTCTTAGGAAAAGGTTTTTAATTCTGAATTCAGATTTTAAAATGCACTTAAGACCATGGAGACTTTTCTATTATTTTTGTATTAGCTTCTGTAATTTTTGTCTTTCAAGAAATTTTTTCATTTCACCTAGATTGTTGAATTTGGTAGTATAACTTGGTTCATAATATTACTTTATTATCCTTCACTCTGCAGGATCCATAGTGATGTCCCCTCTTTCATTCCTGATATTGTTAATTTATTTGTTCTTCCTTTGTTTTTCTTGAAAATTTAGTTAAGAGTATATCAGTTTTATTCATATTTTCAAAGAACTAACTTTTGGCTGTGTTAATTTCCTTATCGTTTGTCTTTTTTTTAATTGATTTTGGCTTTTTTAGTTGTCTCTCTGTATCTTATTCTGTGTTAACATTTGTTTCTCTTTCTAGTTTCTCAAAGCAGAAACATAAATCAATGATTTAAAAATTGCTTTTTTTTTTTTATATAGTCATTTAAATGTTTACTTTTGAGAGAGAGAGAGCATGAGAGCACAAGGGAGGAGCAGAGAGAGGGAAACAGAGGATCTGAAGCAGGCAGATAGTAGAGAGCCCGATGCAGGGCTCAAACTCATGAACCTGTAAGATGATGGTCTCCGCCAAAGTCAGACGCTCAACTGAATGAGCCACCCAGGTGCCCCACTTATATAGTCATTTAAGCTCTATTTTATTTTTTTTTCCTAAGAACTACTTTATCTGCATCTGTCAAATTTTGGTATGTTATATTTTCAATACTAGTTAAAAAATTTTTCTAATTTTCTTTGTGATGTTTTTTCTCTGACCTATATAGTTATAAGTGTGGCATTAAAGTGTTCACTTCAGCAGCACATATACTAAAATTGGAACGACACAGAGATTAGCATGGGCCCTGTGCAAGGATGGCATGCAAATTTGTGAAGCTTCCAGAAAAAGAAAAGAAAAAAGAAAAGAAAGAAAAGAAAAAGAAAAGAAAAAGAAAAGAAAAAGAAAAGAAAGAAAAGAAAAAGTGTGGCATTAGAAGCATCTCTTTCACACAGCGTATCATTAGGTCTTACATTTTTTGTTTAAGTCTAGTTTGACATTCTCTGCCTTTTAATTTGAGTATTTAGTTCACTTATATATAATGTAATTATTATATAATTTTTTTAAGCCCATATCTTTCTTTTTGGGTTTTTATTTGTCCTGTTTTTTTGTGTTCATTTACTCCTCTTTTCCATCTATTTTTAGCTCAATTAAGTATTTTTAGTATTTCATTTTACCTCTTCTATTTGCTTTTCTGTTCTACCTCTTGGCTTTATTTTTTAGTGGTTGCTGTAAGAGTTACACTATACTTCCTTCCTTATCCTACCTTGAATTAATGTTATTTTTGTTCACATATGATGTAAGAACTTTCCACTTATCTACCTCCCTTTCATTGTGCCACTGTTATAATTCATTTTCCTTTTTTGTATGTAATAACCTCACAATGCACTGTGGTGATTATCCCTTTAACAATAAATTTTCTTTTAAGGAAATCAAGAAATAAAAAGAAAAAGTATTTTATATCCTTAAACTTAACACTTATTGTTTCTTTCATTGGGTAAAAGAGTGTTGTGTGTGAAACTTAAGTTTGTAACTGGTATAATCTCCTTTCAGCCTAAAGATATTCCCTTAATATTTCTTTTTTGTGCAGGTGTACTGGTTATAAACCTGCTCAGCTTTGTTTATATGAAAATCTCTTTTACAGTCCGTGTTTGTATGCTTTTACATGTTGACATACTTTTAATATCATATTTAAGAAACTGTTGCCTAACTCACTATTCTAAAATTTTTATATGTTGTTTTTTGATGTTTTATACTTTAGCTTTTACAATTAGGTCTATAATCCATTTTGAGTTAATTTTTGTGTATGTTAAGAGGTAAGGGCCAAGATTCATATTTTGTATATCATTATACTATTGTCCCGAGTACTGCTTTTTATAAAGATTATTCTTTCTTCATTGAATTGCTTTGGCAATCTTGTTGAAAATCAATAGACAATATATAAGTGGATCTATTTCTGAACTCTCTATTCTGTCCCATTGATCTATGAGTCTATCTCTATACAAATACCACACTATCTTGATTACTATAGCTTTGTACATCTTGAAATCAGGTAGTATGTCTTTCTACTTTCTTCTATTTTTCTAATTTAAAAAAATTAATTTTTTAATGTTTATTCAATTTAAAAAAAAATTTTTTTTCAACGTTTATTTGTTTTTGGGACAGAGAGAGACAGAGCATGAACAGGGGAGGGGCAGAGAGAGAGGGAGACACAGAATCGGAAACAGGCTCCAGGCTCCGAGCCATCAGCCCAGAGCCTGACGCGGGGCTCGAACTCCCAGACCGCGAGATCGTGACCTGGCTGAAGTCGGACGCTTAACCGACTGCGCCACCCAGGCGCCCCATTAACGTTTATTCAATTTTTGAGAGAGAGCGAGTGAGCAGGGGAGGGACAGAGAGAGAAGACACAGAATCTGAAGCAGCCTCCAAGCTCCAAACAGTCAGCACAGAGCCTGTTGGGGTATTTGAACCCATGAACTGTGAAATCATGACCTGAGCCAAAGCCAAAGCTGGATGCTCAACTTACTGAGCCACTCAGGCACCCCTACTTTCTTCTTTTTTTAAAAAGCATAGTTTTGGCTCTGGGGTGCCTGGGTGGCTCAGTTGGGTGAGCATCTGACTCTTGGTTTCAGCTCCATTCATAATCCCATGGTTTGTAGGTTTCAGCCCTGCATCTGGCTGTGTGCTGACAGTGCAGAGCCTGCTTGGGCTTCTCTCTCTCCCTCTCTGTCTGCCCCTCCCCTGCTCATGCTCTGTCTCTCGCTCTCAAAATAAATAAACATTAAAAAAATAGTTTTAAAAAAGTTTGGGCTCTTCTAGGTCCTTTGCATTTCCAAGCAAATTTTAGAGTAAGTTTATCTATTTCTTTAAAAATTCCTGATGGGATTTTTTTATTAGGATTACATTCAATCTATATATCAATATGGAGTAAACTCATATTGTAACAATATTGAGTCTTCTGATCCATGAACATTGTATTTACCTACAGTTATTTAGGTCTTCCTTAAGTTCTCACAGCAATGTGATTTTCTGTTTTCTAAATCTCAGGTCTTTGCCAAATTTTTTACTAAGTATTTCACATTTTTGATATCATTGTATTACAGTTTTTCATTCCAACTTCTAGCTGTGCCTTGCTAGTGTATAGAAATACAATTGATATTTGTTTATTGACCTTGTGTTCTCAATTGTGTTTACTCATTGCTGAGTCATCTTTTTTTTTTTTTTTTTGTTGCAAATCCTTAGTATTCTTTACCTAGTCAATCACTGTCCTCAAATAAAGACAGTTTTACTTCTTCCTTTTCAATCTGAGCATCTTCTTTTATCTTTTACTTCCGTTATTGCATTGGATAGGATTGTCAATACATGGTTAACTCAAAGTGGTAAAAGCATACATACATCCTTGACTCTTTCCTGGTCTTAGGGGAAAGCATTAAGCCTTGTATCATTAAGAATGATGTTAACTCTAGGTTGTTTGTTTGTTTTAGGATGTTTTATAACAGATTGAGAAAGGCTCAATCTATTCCTAGTGTGTGGTGAGGTTTTTCTAATATATAAATTTTGGATTTTTTCAAATGCTTTTTCTGCATCTATATAGAGAATCTTATTATCCTGTTTTCTATTAACATGGCAAATTATCTTGATTTTGAGTGTTAAAACAACTTTGTATTTCTGAGATAAAACTCATTTCTGATATATTACCTTCATATATATTGTTGGATTCAGTTTGCTAAAATTTTGTTAAGAAATTTCACTTCTAGGGGTGCCTAGGTGGCTCAGTCAGTTGAGCCTCTGACTCTTGATTTCGGCTCAGATCATGATCTCAGGGTCATGGGATTGAGCCGCCCGTTGGGCTCTGGGCTAAGCATGGGAGCCTTCTTAAGATTCTTTCTCTCAAAAAAAAAAAAAAAGATTCTCTCTCTCTCTTCCTCTGCCCTTCTCCCCTGCTTGTGCTCTCTCTCTCTCTCAAATTAAAAAAAATTTTTTTAAAGAAATTTTGCTGCTATATTTTAAGGATATTGATCTGCAGTTTTCTTTTCTTATGATTTTCTTTTCCTGTAATATGTATTAGGTTTTGTTATCAAGATAACGCTGGATTCATAGAATGAGTTAGCAAGCGTTCCCTCCTCTTCTATTTTCTGAAAGAGTTTGTATAGAATTTTTCATGTTTCTATTGTTGCCTAATGTCTCCAGGTGTAATTGCATGTAGGGCGCTTTTTAGCATTAAGGATAATGAACATAAATTTATTTTCAAATCATATTCTAGGTCATTCCAAACTTTCTGGCTGACTTCATGTCAGATCTGATTGTGTGGAAAGAAAGCATGATTTAGAATAGATGAAACACAGGGAGTAGACATTTTAATACTTAATAGTTTGTGCCTCACCCCAGAGGATTTATTTGGGTGCCCATTTTGGACTTAGGGAAAAGACCATTGGGAGTTTGGTGGGCACCTGGCTTCCTTTGTAAAGCCCCCAGCTTTCACAGCAGAGATTATGCTCCTGTCTCTAACCCCTGTATTGCTCTTCCTAATCCCTAATCCTAAATATGTGCCTTGTCACATGTTTAGTGACAAGGCAGCTGGGCCAGAGAAGCCCGGCAGGCCTTGAGATTGGCGCCTTGTTACAGCTGTGTCAATAGCTTGCTCTGAGTCCTTGAACAAATCTGTTTCTGAGGACCTCAGCTTTCACAGGTGCAACGCACAGGCCCAACTGAACCCCCAATCCTATCCTTCTGTAAGAAGCACCTCACCATAGCTGGCTTCCATACATTCTGGGTTCGAATCCGCATAACTTCTACATGGCCTTGAGTGAATTACTTTACTTTTCTCAGCCTTGTTTCCTGACCTATAAAATGAAAATACTTTCAGTTTGTGAGAATTGGATGAGATACTATACACCGATTTTATTTTATTTTATTAGTTTTTTAATGTTTTATTTATTTTTGGTGAGACAGGGCACAAGCAGGGAAGGGGCAGAGAGCCAGTGGAGGAGAGGGTCTGAAGCGGGTTCTGTGCTGACCGCAGTGGGCCTGATACGGGGCTCAAACTCACAAACCGTGAGATTATGACCTGAGCGAAAGTTCGACGCTCAGTGGACTGAGCCACCCAGGCGCCCCGAGATACTGCACACAAATTTTAAAGAACATAGTTTGCTTTCTCTCTTACACCTGTGGTTCTCAAATTTTCTTTGGAGCACCAGAATTCCCTGGGGATTTCTCCCCCTCACTCCTCCCTGTGCTGCCCCCTCTGTGATTCTGAAGCGGGCAGTGGAAGCCTGCAGCCTGCATTTCTAGGGCCTCCTGGGTGGTTGTCCCTGCTAAGAGCACTGCCCTAACCTCTGTAACATCTCCCACCACATCAAACACAGAGCCTTGCACTTTGAAGTGTGCACAAGAAAATAAAAGGACCGGGTAGGTGATGGCAAGGAAAACAAATAACCTGTGCTTCTGCAGGTCAAGCAATCCCCTGGGAGGCTGCTCAGCGTCCCTCCAGGCCCTCCCCAGCCCCAGCCCAGCGCTGCTGGAAAGCGCGGCGTGATCCCACCGTGTTTGTCAGCTCCCTGCTCGCGTCTCCTCTGGCTCTGTTTTGACAGGTGTGTCCAAGGCTGGCGCAGCACATGTTGCCAGCACAGCCTGGGCCAGGGAGGAGGAGCCGGAGGAAGGCGCAGAGGCTCAGCCCAGGCTGGAGGGGCGGTGAAGTGGCCTGGGGAGGAATGGTGGGCAGGCCCAGGGTTTTTAGACATAACCCAGTCCTGTGGCCCCCAGGAAGTCCCCTTGCTGTTTCCTTAGGAGGAAGCCCAGGAGCTCCTTCAAGGCTTTGCAAACCTGGCGGGGAGTAAAACACCTGACAGCAAA